TATATATATATATATATATATATATACACACACATACACACAAAGGAAAATGTTTTGGTAGAGTTGTAGCCTATCAAAATAAATAAAGCCTTACTTCAAATATTTTTGAAAATTGTAGTTTTGTCATCAAGAAACCTTCAAGTCATTCATCTCGGTGGTGACTATATGGTTGTAAAAAAAAATATAGGATTTTAAGCATTAGGAATAGTGCATATTTGATGAGAAAGGAGCTTAAGAAATTAAATTGGACCTTATATCAATTTTAAACAAGCACAATTTCGACAGGATGAAATAAATAGCTATTTTTTTCTACTTCATTAAAAAAGTCTTTAAGAAAAAAATACCAAAGTCCCCATCTAATTGGACGTCACCCCTCTTAAATAAATAAATAAACAAATAAAATTTTCTCTCTCTCTACACCCCATCTCTCTCTCCAATTCACGTGATCTCCCATGAATCTCTTCCTAAAGCCCATAACTCACATTAATGTAGTAGTTACTTTTGACCTTTTCTTAACACCCTTATCATTTAGGAATCCCCAGATATGCCCATGACCCAGCAAGAAATGAAGAACCCATCTCCCTAATCCAATCCTATTTTTATGGAGCTCAACTTGAGCTTCAAGTCATTCCCAACAAGCCAAGAACCCCACATTAATTGTTAAAGTAAAGAAATATTACTAATCACTACCCACAATAATAAATAATAATTCATTTTTAACCCCAATGCCATAATTCCAAAAAATTAACCCCAAATAGAAATAAAAAGGTCAACTTACATCCTTGAAAATTAATTTTTAAAATACATAAATAGAAATAAATGTCTATCATGCGATTTGCATCATACTTCCTGTGTTGGAAAAAGAACTCATATTGAGTTTTTGTTGTTGCATCTTCACCCTCCCATTAGTTGATGGTAAAGCCTTACTTCTCCACGAAATTGTTTTTTTGTGAAACATGAGACTAAACAGTTAGTTGCACATCTAATGGTAATCTTTTTGGTATATACAATGGGCAACATATTACTGTTTGAGAGTTTGAAATCATATGCTTTCACTAAAGAAGAAGATGCATCACTTCTGATGGACGAAGTTTGAGTTTGCATCAAGGAAGACTTCTCTCAAGTGCGGTCCAAATCCACCAAAGAACACAATTCAAGTGCTATTTCAAAAAGATCCTTGTGCCCCATAGATGAAACTTCATCACATATGGTCGAACATCTACGGCCAATTCTCTTTAAAACCCATTATGTTTTCCTTCTCCCCCTCAACATTTGAATGCCCAATAAGAAGAGAACTCACCATAGTTGAGCCAAAACCAAGTTCCAACTTTAGCACCCGTGCACAAATTTGCTTCCAATAAATGAACCCTTGAGGCAATTATAGGTTCTGATATGAACTGCAAGAGAGTTATGGGATCAAAACCTAGTTTTGCACATCTCTGTTGAAGCTTTGACGAAAACGATATATTCACCTTCTCTACGCCTCTCAACTCTCGAGAGAAACAAGAATAGGCTGCTTAACAAATAGGGAAAGTCATCAAATAGAGCAAGTCCAAGTTCTTGTAAAAGAAAGTCAGCAAGGCTCTTCTCATGATATGGGCCTCTTCCAACTTTATCTCTACTCATAGATTTGTTTCTTCTCTCGCAAGTGTACCCCCTTAAAGAAAGTATTAATCGAATTGTGCTAGTAATTAATGTTGCAACCTAGGGTAGAATGAAACTGATTGTCAACAACACCAGAACTGTCACTGTATGGATTGGATTGGATTGGAACGAGGGACACCAATGACCAAATTAAGCCATACCCACCACTCACAAGAAAATACAACTTCACCATCCATTTGACTGCAAATTTTTATTGCAAAGAAGAAACCATATGGATTGGAATGAGGGACACCAATGACCAAATTAAGCCATACCCCACCACTCACAAGAAAATACAATTTCACCCATTTTTACTGCACATTTTTATTGCAAAGAAGAAGGGAACAGTTTGACAACTGAAATTTGGGTGAGAAAGGGTAGGCTGAATGCAAGCAATGCTAATGGAAACGGATATGCCTCCCTTTAACAGTGATGAGACAACAGTGCCAATTATAAATATACTCCTTCGGCAAATTATCGTCTTCGCATATTTTAAACATGTTAAGTCTCAATAATGATTAGATCCCATATTACATGATGTTGTTGGATCCACACTTCAAAGTTACCACACCAATTATGAAATGGTTCCAATAAAGTACCGAATCATCTGAATTAATCACAATCGTTCTACACATCATGGTTAGGATTTTTTGAAACAGAAAACCAACCACAACTCTCCATGCTCATACCATTCATTCTCATCACCTCTACTGAACAACTCCATTGTGCATATATAATTTTTACCAGCGGCACCAACATTAACTACATCATCATCTACAATTTGGATATCATTATCTTTTTCTTTTATAAGTTATCGGATTGAGAATGGAGCCACAACCTCCTCTTTGGAAGATTCAGGTGGAGTCTCCTCACTTAATGGCAACAAATATAGTTCATGTTTAATCATCGATAATTTGCTTTAATCAGAAACTGCTCTCTTTGTTTTCTCATCCAATCCCAAAACTCTGCTTTAATCAGAAACTGCTATCTTTATTTTCTCATCCAATCGCAAAACTCATTTTATTGTAGTCAGGGGTTGCTCTTCCATGTTAACTAGGAGGGAAATCACTTGCAAATCCAACATTGTCTTCCATAGAATGTTAATATTTTCTTCTTATCAATATAATGTTGAATTTCTTTATTATCAAATTAAGAATCTTTCGTACTTCCATTAATAAAAATACTAAACATATCCCCAATTATCTTTTTTTTTTCAACAGCTTAATCTAAAAAAAATACGTCTGCCTTTTTCTCATTAGATTTAGGGCATTTTGTGTCTTCTAATGTATCAACCTCTCTAGTGACAAATTTAAGATTTTTTTTTATCAAGATATCATATATATTTGTTTTTTTACTTGTGTGATGTTCAAGTTGCAATTTTGTTGTACGGACATCAACTACCCGGGGTGGAGGTGTTAGTCTCCGCACCTGGGACGATCTTGCTCCACTGATGGATTTGGATGTGGTAAAATTCTTTTTGTGCTTGTCTCTATACTGATTTGAGTCTATTCCCTTGTGCCAATCACATCGGCTTTGGGGTTATCGGTTACCCAACTTTTCTCTACTTTCATGCTCTCATTGATGTCGTCGTGCATCGAACCCATAAGTGCGATCGAGCATAACATCAAGCAGTTCCCACTCATATTTGCCCTCTGATTTATGTAATCTCCATGAAACTCACACAATATGGATCTAATATCGTTGATCTTGTCTTATTCGATGTATGTTGTGATCTTTGTTTTTGTACCAACTTTTCAACCATCTCCATCAAGTTGTCGATTTTCTTATATATGTTGTCGTTTTTCTTATATATTTGGTCCTGCTTGGCATTCCAACAGCTGTAACCTCCATGGCCAACCATCATAGTCCTTAACCGTTTTCGAACCATCCGAAAGGAGCTCGAAAAATTAAATCAGGTCTTCTTTCGATCATAAACAAGTAAAAATTTGACAATAATGAAATAAATAAGTTGATTGTAAATCAAGCTATGGGAAAAAACATTTTTTTGGCCTCAACAAAAATAGGGATTGAATGCATGGACCGGCCATCACCATCCGTCCTCATATTCTCTTAATTGCAGCCAAAATTTTTTATTATTGTATATAATGAGATCATGTACATTTAATACAAGGAGGTTACAAATTACTCATAACCATCCGATGTGAAATTTAATAAATTGGATATATCGCAAAGTTCAAAAAAAAAAATAATTTAAAATCGATCAATAGAATATTTTTTTGAAATCATTTTTTTTATGCCACTACAGGTTATTGAGGGTGTCAATGGAATAAATGCGGTCATCTAGTTTCACATCCAATAGTTAAGATTAATTATGACCACTTTGTACCAAAGATAAAAAGTCTTATGATGTACTTTTTCAACAAATATATTGTATTAAGTCGAGAAGAAAAATTGTTTCATGCAACAGAGATTGCATTTCTACATTTGCAGTCCCCGAGGTATGAAGCATCCATTAGTGATTGAAAAAACAGACTGCCCAACACCCAGGCGGTCCAAAAGGCCTGGGCGCATCTCTCAAGCGTAGGCGGCCAATGTGGATGGCAATCCCTAGACGGCCGCCTAGACGATACAAAACCACATTGGACCGCAATCCCTGGGCGGCCGCCTAGACGTTACAGAACCCCCCTAAGCGGACGCCCAACGCCTAGCGTCCAGCCCAAAGCCTGCACTCTGCCTAGGCGATACGAAACCCGCCTTGGCGGGTGACTTGCCTAAGTGGATACAGAACCTGCCTAGAGGCAAAAAACAAAAAATTTGTATTGATTTTTTAAAAAAATATAAGGAGCTAGAAAGATGGTTTTAAGTTCATTTGAAACTTAAAACTTATTGGAACCCATTTTAAAGAGAAAGCCTCCAACACGTTTTGAAACACTGGCATCCATCTTAAAGATGGATCCAAATAAGTAGTCTATCTAAAAACAATCGAAACTAAAGATCTAAATATTTTATTAATAAAATTATTATTACTAATTTTTAAAATTTTTCATTTTTTCATATTCATGATCTCCATGTTAGAGATTACATGTCCTTAAAAATTAGTCCAAAAAGAAAAAATATATATTTTTAAGAGGTGACTCATTTCTACATGGACTCATAGAAACTGTGTCCAGTCGAGAAAGGTTCTCGCTCCTCTGCACATTCAGAGAGACAAAAGGGCTTGAAATCCACTCCAAGAGAAGTCAAGTGTGAATTTGCCACCCAGAAAGAGAGAGAGTCGTAAAAAGTCCAGGTGAACAAATAGATCGCATTGAGTCGTGAAGGGCTTTCTCTCGTGCACCCAGAGAGAGCGAGAGTTTTAGAAAGAGCCTTAATGAGTCCAGCTGGGCAAGCCACGGCCAAGAAAGGCGGCTGGATGGAACTGGATACAGATGCCTGCATTTAACACTTGTGAAAGATTTAACTCTCTTTCTCTACTCGTAGGTGAACATATTACATTTTTAAAAGTTTTCCAGCACCCAAACAAATATTTGCGCCCAAATAATATTTTTGTAGGGTATGTATACGATGTCAAACTAAGAAAATCGAAGTTCGGCGCACTTTAAATTTGCTCGGAAGACTAATTTTGGTGCCGGAAATTCCTCAGGTACCTTGAAAATCTATTTCGCATATAGTTATAAAATTTAAGAACTCTTAAATATAGTACAACAGATATAAACACTTCAAACTTTGAAAATAAACTGTACAATTGTCCCACAAGATACACTACTTTTAAGATTTATAATCCTCTTCTTTTCATATCCATATTTCTCAAAATCAAGATTATTTATTGAAAGGCTCTCTAACACCTGAACAACATTTTTTATATTTATATTCATATTATATATTATATTTTCAAATTAAAACCCAACTTCAAGTAATTAAAATAAAACTTTGATGATGATGATGATAATGACATTCACAAATTAAAAGACACCCATAAAGCCTTTCCCACCAAACAAAGCTGGCTCTTTCTCCCCATTAGTGGGTTTGCTCCAAATTCTTAGATGCCACCAGGTCCATGTGGGCTGCTTTCTAGCCCCACCCAATAAATGATTGTTCCCTAAGGACCAGGACTACTGGACTCATTGTGCATTCTAAATTTTAATCATGGGTTCATCAAACATGCAGTAAAACACATTGAAAATGATAAATCAGTGCATATACTAAGAATTAGGTATCATTCATCAAACTTTTTTAATGAGTTTCTCTCTAAATCTTTTGATAATTGACACATAAGCCCCTCTCTCTCTCTCTCTCTCACCAGAGCCGATCAATTGTCAAGCTCCACTTGGAGTGTTCATTTAAAGTGAACAGGTAATCAATTCTGATGATTCTCAATCTAATCCACACCATGCCTCAAAACCTCTCCAATTATAACTACAAACATCAGGACAAGTATTATTAAGAATTTTAATCACCTCCAAATGTCATAGGAAGTGGCACCTACCCAACAAGAAAAGTAAGTTGGAAATTGAAACCAGTGCACTATTCATCAATAAAGATTGGGACCAACCACTAATCTTCCATCCAATTATCCATTTCCCCAGCCACATGGCATCACTAATATCCATACTTATCCGTTTTAATCATACATACAGAAAATTTATATAAAGGAAATTTATATAAAATTGAGGCCGTAAACAATCAAATTAAGAAACACCTCAAATAACCAGTAGAGGAAGTTGTTTCGATGCTAAAAAAAACCCATAAATCTGATCATCTCAACCTTTAGATACATTGGACATCAAAAAATTGGATTTAAGTCTTAAAAATGATACATCTTACTATGCATTATCTAGACGATCAATTTTCAAGATTATCAAGTGTTCATAGATCTATTTGATCAACACTATTTTTTAAGCTTGAAATTTTATAATTAGAGACAAATATAATTTTTAGACCATCATAAAGATTTTTGGTGCTAAAACATCTTTTAACACTATTTGTAGGTGCACCCTACTTTGATTGTTTAGAACCTCAACCTTATACAAATCACACCTTTAAACTATTGGTAGCTCGAGACCCAAGGAATGTTTCCATAAGCTGAATATGGACAGTAGGAAGAAATATCTAAAACTACAAAAAATTTCGAAGTGAAAAAAGAGAAACACCTAAGAGAGAGAGAGAGAGAGAGAGAGAGAGAGAGAGAGAGAGAGAGGAGGGAGGGGAGGGAGACGTAGTACGTACGTACTTACTACTACTACTTACGTTTAGTTTAGTTAGTTAATTAATTTAGTTTTTAGTTTTTAGTTAGTACGTACGAACGGAACGGTACC